CTCCCATGGCTGAAAGGGCGAGCATGTTTGGTGTAACGTGGATTTGAACCCGTGACCCACAGATTCCGAGTCGAGCACCCTAACCACCTGGCCATGCCAGGCCTTACCAGTTCAAATGGAAGATGTAATATTCATTAAAAGTATGGGTGCTTGACAGATTCTAATCTTAAAATCATTTTAAAATATTTTTACATATTATTTTCTTTTCTTAAATGTATTCTGTGCTGACAAACAAGTACGCAACAGATTAAAGCTTAAAATTTAGGGAATTTCACAAAAATGAAATAAAATACTATGAAGATTAAAATATAATTCACAGAATTAACATTACTATATTTAGGCTTACCTATTCACTTTAAAGTTTTCAAAGCCAAATATGTCAAGAACTCCGATTGATGATCGTGAAATGTTTGAAGTGGACTTAGGCTTGTAGATTGCAGAATTAATTTTATTCACAATCCACACAAACATGCGACCATAGATACCCTTCACAAAAGCATCACGTACATCCAGTGCTTGGTGTGAACTCATCGTTGACACTACAGTGTCTCCATGAGCAAAGATTGTTCGAGTTGTCAATGCATCTATCAGGTGTTGAGTGTTGACCTATATAAATTAATGAAAATCAAACTAGTAACTGCAATAATGAGGAACAAAAGCAAATATTCTACAGTTTTTGAACAAATATACAACAGACAAATTAAACTACTAATGTTATATTCAAAGAAAGCAGATGTTGAAAGGGAAATTATTCTCACTAAATATAACTTGGGACTAAAGTATGGACTTATTGATTAAAAAAAACCTCACACAAAAATAAAACTACATGCTTGCTTCTTCAGAAAAAGAACACAAGATTAATAAGAATATTTAGTTGGCATTCATTTCATTTTTATACATTTATTTTTCTGTCAGTTGAAGCTTTATTCACATGTATTTTGTGATTCTCATTTCTTTTAGATAAATAGTTTCCCATCTATCAAAATAAAGGTATCAATCACAGTCTGTTATTTTCTATTTTCAGAAAGTACAAGAAAGACATTTTTGGTATAACCCTTTTGTTAAGTTGTTTTTTTTTGGGGGGGGGGGCATAACCAGATGTTTAACACATTTGCCACTACAGTACTTTTAACCCATGCACTAAGCCACATTCATTACTGCTAAAGTGCCAAAACTTTAGCCATAGTTCAGAACGATCATGTAGCATAAAGGTATTGACATGCAGAGTAGCTAATACTTGATAATTTGACCAGTAATCCTCTATCAATGTTTTTGTCACGATGTCCATGATTAAAAAGAATGTTTCTCATTTCAGATCCACCAGTTGCAGACTACTGACGCATTGTTTTTAAGCTTTAAGCAGTTCATTCCAAGAACTGTTCAATGAACCTATTCATTTCAGCAACCACTGTACTCGCAACATCCTCCATCACAAACAGTTTGAAAATTTCAACTGAAATGGCCTCTGATGGCAAACCTGCAACCATTTAGGGCTGTGTACTTAAGAAATATCATTTGAACTAACATATGTAGCACGGAAAGTCTGCCATCCACCAACTGATGCTGGTATTCTAGTGTCACTGTCGGTGTTTCGATCGGGAAAGTGTCAGCTAAAGACAAATCAGCTTGAATATTTACCTGGTCTCTACAGTCCAGGCCTCTTTTATCATTAGGCTCATAAGTACTATCCATATCTATATCATCCTCCTCCTCAAATGACCCTGAATCATATTCTTGTAAAATACTCATAGTTTCAATCAGACTAAAACGTTTGTACAACTTTGCCATCTTGTAGCTATAAGGGTAACCAAAACAAACCACTGCAATAATCTCAGGTCAAGTGACTTGAAAGGATAGAGCAATTTTTTGTTCTGTCATTCACAAGAGGGCAAGACACACATAATCACTGTATAGCACTAAGGGACTGTTTATATGTACTCTCAAAATATGTTATAGTACCTGTGCTGATTCACTGTGTTAATGTGTCGGTAGCTCCTGACTAATAGAAATGATTGACCTGTTAATGCATCGTTAGCAGCAAACGTGTTAAGTCTAAATAAAGGCATAATCTTGTAATGTCATATGTAATTACAAAAAACAAGTTAGCAAATAAAAGATTATTATTTGAATAATTTTTATTTTTGTAACTAATATAATAAAAAGTGTAAAAAAAATACAACTGTTCTTCATTAGAGAAATTAAGAAAAATAATAGTTTGCCTTTTCTAGATGTATTGGTGAAAAGGAATGTACAAGGTAATTTAGAATCAGTTTATTGGAAACCTTTTCCTGTTCTTATGCTCCCACACCAAGAATCATGTCATACTAAGTCACAAAAAATGTCTGCATTTCATAGTTATGTTAAGACAGCTTTGAAGATATGTACTAACCAAAACGATTTAAAAAACGAATTGTTATTAATTAAATATATAGCAGTTGAAAGAGGTTTTAACCCAGATCTTATAGATAGAGCAATTAAGAAATTCACTAATACTATAATAATTGTTCAAGTTAGTACTTTAAAACCTAGTTATGAAAAAATTAGAAAGGAAGGCCTAATCTTACCATATGTTCCAGGTTTAACTACTAGTTTATTTAAAGTGTTCAAAAAACAACAGATATTCTACCCTATATTAAAACCGATAAATAAGATGAATCAAATCTTAGGTACTACAAAAAACGAAATACATTTAACTGAAAAAAAAGTGGAATATATAAAATAGAATGTGAATGTGGAAGTATTTACGTTGGTCAGACAAAATGTAATTTAAAATACTGCTTAAATGAGAAAAGGGATATGTAAAAAATAAAAAACTGAAAATTCATCCATAGCAGAACATGTATAGGAAACTGTAATATTGGCTCAACCTAAAAGTCTAATAGGTAATAATATTCGTGAATCGTTAGAAATAATAAAACACAAAAAAGATCATGTAGT